ACAGGCGCCTGCGTACACATTGACGGACAAATAATCCAGATAATTGAAAAATAAAAATCAATCAGTCTGAAGCATATGGAAGCACTTGAGGTCAGAGGTGTTTAACACTACCAGGAAAGTGTGAACAATACTGCAGGGTAATTTATTTATCTACCCCATTCTTAGATATCTGTAGTGACCACATGCTTGGCCCAAATGCTGCTCCCAACATGCACCTTCAACCTGTTTTTTTCTTCATGCTGTTTCCGTGCACCTTGACCTACCATTTGAAGGGCTGAACAATTCCCTTCCCTTATTTGCACGGGAACATAAAAGATATTTTTAGAATGCGGCAAAACAAATCCTTACCTACACTAAGCAGTAAACTATGAAATATTGTACCTTTTTTATAAAAAAAAATTCTGTTCACCCGTCCTTGTGGCTTCATAGTCCATCCAGCACTGTGGAGACCCAAACAAAAGCACAAAGCAGCAAAAGCCCTACTGGGACAATAAAGAGGCCAATTGTCACCTCCCTGCACACTTACTGGGAAAACATGTTCTTTCAAGGACAGTACTCTCTCTCCTCCTCCACCCTCTCCCCAGTAAGTTTTAGGAGCAAAAGGCAGGTTTAGTGTCCCAAAAACATTGGGACAAACAAGTTTTCAGTTAATTTTCTGAAGGACAGCAGTTTATTACCCTGTTATAAGCAGTTCTAAATCTCACTTTGCTGCGCACACCCTGTACATCTGAACCAAGAGGTGAGGAGCCTCCTCCACCAGGCTCCAGATGTGGACTCCTCAGCTCTGTCCCAGCTGCTCAGTGGGCACATGAAGCCACTCTCTCTCCCCTTCCCACTCCTTCCAAGCACTCCTGGCCCTCTCCCCCTGCCCCAAAAGCTCCACCACCTCCCTTCCTGCTTCCTTCCTCCCCACTGTATAGCTCCCCCTGCAGCTGCTCCAGATCTTCCAAGTCCCAATTTTCCTTCTGAGCATCCAACCTGAGCTGCCCTTTGCCACCTGCCAAGGACATCAGGAGCAGTGGAGGCCCCAGCATTTCACAGAGTCACAGAATGGTTTGGGCTAGAAGGGTCCTTTAAAGGTCATGCCCTGTAGTGCACATCTTCAACTACATCAGGTTGCTCAAAGCCCCGTCCAGCCACACCTTGAATGTTTCCAGGGATGGGGCATCTATCACCTCTCTGGGCAACCTGTGCCAGTGTTTCATCCTCACTGTATAAAACTTCTTCATTTTATCTAGTCTGAGAAGAGGAGTGGGACAGGGATGCTAGCAGTAGGATGTAGCACAGTTCTCTACTGCAGGAGAGCCTGGGACAGGAAGGACAGCTGAGATGAGGGTTTCCCATAGTCCTGCAGTGCTCGAGGTGGCACAGGACAGCCTCAGAGGACAGCCTGCAAACAAGGGGCACTCCACAGTGCGGGTCCTCATCACTGCCTGCCATGTGGGTACCAACTGCTGGTGTTCCCTAGGGCAGGGGTGCAGGGCTGCGTGAGGGTGGGGACAGCCCATAATGGCATGAAGGTGGTGGGGCTGATCAGAAAGACCTCCCTCACTCCACCGAGGAGCACAGCTAACACACATTTGCTAACACTCTTGTCAGAGGTGTCAGCAAGAGTCGTTTGGCACTCGGGAAGCAAAATGGTCTTTGCATCTTGTCCTAACACCCTTTGGGTCCTATCTGTAGTTTGGATTTCTCCTCCTCTCTAGTGACAGGCACAGTAGCTGCTGTGAAACATGATGAGTCATGGCTGCAGCCTACAAGGGAAAGGCAAGATAACGGAAGAGCAAGAACGCAGCGAGACAGGAGGGAAAACCTCCAAGTCACCACTACATACCTACCACTGGCTTCTCCACAGTACCCCACACAATATATCTTCATCTTTCTCTGGCTAAATCTGTGGGAAGAGGAGAAGGAACGGCAGAACAGCCTCTCTATGTTATACGTTCAGGCAGCCTGAGAGTCACTCTGTTTTTTTGACCTAAAGATGCAGTAGGAGCTGCCTCCTGTAAGAGTGGCAAGTTGGAAAGTGTGTTTGTCAGGCAGCGAATCTAGGAGGAAAGAGGCAGGTTGAGAAGGCCAAGAGGAACATGTCTGGATCAAGACACACTGAAACTGCCTTCACTGTTGCCTTTCATGAAAATTGGCAGCGATCATCCATCCTGGCTGCTCTGCTTCACCATATGTCCTATCTCCAGTGGCACCACAAATATGCTGGGAAAAATATCCCTGTGCCAAATGTTTCAAACACAAATGTGAAAGGATATAAGACTTTTATGTCACTGATTTGCTTCACACCTAACATATTTTTCATACAGTAATTTGAATATGATGCTGTTGTAGACACAGCACATCTATTCCACCTGAGTCAAGTGCTGCAGCACTGAATGCCAGCAGAAACACACCTGCGTAGACCCACAATGCTGGTGTAGAACAGGACGAGGTATTTCTTAGATTGCTATTCAGTTGTGCATGGGAAACAGCTTTCCTACCTTAGCAAACACATTCACAGCCTGGTAAGTGTACCTTCTCCATGAGAAAGACAATGCTATTCACAGTCCTTAGTGAAGACACCAAGACAGAGGGACCCACTTCCCAGCACAGGCAACACAAGGGCACCTTGCCAGTGCTTACACAACAGTTCAACTCAAGTGACCGCTCCACTCAATTCAGGTGAAAAACTTGAACCTCAGCCTATCACATATTGATCTCTACACTAATTTAGTCAAACTGATCTTCTCTCTCACCGGAAAGATAATTCTGTGCTGGACTGTGCCTTGCTTCTGGTTTAAACTATAACATTTAATCCCAGCAGATAATTTCATTTTCAACTGATTGCATTTTTTGACTGAAACCAAAAGCAAAACACTGTCACTTAAAAATGCCCAGCCAATTCTACACCAAAAATCTGCTTTGAGGCCTGCTTATCACACTGTTTCTAGGAGAGCTGACAGTTGCTGAAATATAGGCACTAGGATTGCTAGCGTTGACAAGGCTTTAAAGCATCATCACACTGAGTAGCCATTAGAGGTTATATTTCATTGGAAGTAATGTAATTCAATTACCATCACTCTTTAGTATGTCCCATCTCTGGAGGCTGACAATAAGCCATATCATCCATCAGATTTTAACCTGAACTTTGCATTCTGGCCCTATAGATTGCCACTTCTCCGTTATGAATGGCTTCATATTTTCAGCATCATTTCTTAGGGAAAAGAGGTTATCCAATTACAGTGTGCATCCATCTGCCTGCCTGGCTGTCCAGCCTTAGCTTTTCAACCAGTTTCAATCAGGAGGCAAAGGTCTTCAAGAAAATTAAGTTCCTATCAGTTCTGCGACTAATCAGAGGCAGGGTAAAGAAGAGAAATCATTTGCACGTCCCACTTGGGAGTGGTGAGCTATGTAATGCCTGCAAACTGACAATCCCATGAGCACAGACAGTTAATACAAGAAATGAAATTATTCTATGCAAGAAACTTGAAAGTATGGGGAATTTGTGCTCCTGCAGGGACAGAAGGTCAGGCAGAGCCATGTGTTGGGCTGTGAGACACAAACCGTCCGGAAAGCCTGCTCCTTTAGAACTGCTGTTCATGGAACAGCTATTTTATTAATGTATTGAGCTTAGTAATTTACAAAGAATTTCTCATGCATATTTCTTCAGCAAAAAAATATTTTGAGTCATTTACTCTGACAGTCGAACATATTGCAGACACAAAATATAAATCGCACAGAAAAGTGACGTAACATTTGCTTTCCCAAGTCTATGCATTTAAGCTCTATCAATAACCACATTTTCTTTTTCTGAGTATCTGAAGCATACAGTAACTGATTTGCTACACTTACCTGTTTAAATGATTACTCTTACTGGTGATTATCAACATCACTGATTCATGTTGTTTTTCTGCCTTTTTGCTGTCTAACTGAACCATAGAAGCACTCATGACTTCACCAGGTCTTCATCCCTTTCATCAGCTGCACAAGACTCGTGACTTCTGACAACTTTCTCACTCCTCACAGGCAGCTTGTTTATATCTGTCACTGCAGCCTTTCCCTTTCCCTCTTCCTCTCCACCCTTCCAAATTTTTCCTCTTCCATTTATGCTAAATCCCTTTTCTCTGGCCTTTCCCACCCACTGGTTTTCACCATCTCTGCATCTCCCCTTCTCCTATATTCACACATTCTCCAGCACAGCCTTGCCCCTCATTCTGCCACCTCTTATTCTGCCTCCCACATACACTGTCATGACCTTCTCTTCTTCAGCTACACTGAAAGCCACTCTCTATCACTTCAATTCCTTTAAAGAGTGTCTCTCTTTGCCCCATTAACACCATTAGTCAACTATTGTTACCTTCTCCTCTGTGCTCCCAATGAACCCCAGTGAATACACAGCCTCCCTGCACTTTAGACATTTGCTTACCCTTCGAACCCACATCTGAAATACCAAGTTTTACTCCTCCCTCACATCCCTGACTCACTCCTGCTGCCATCCCTCAGGGAGTACCAGCTGAAGTTTCAGGACAAGACCACAAAGCCTCTTGTCCTCATTCCTATACATTTTATAACTTTTATCCACTCCTATTCCTCATTTTCTCATCCACATATGCCACTCTCTACCTCCTCCTCTACTTTTGTCAATTCCTAGAAAGCTTTCTGCCTATGCACAAAAGGCAGTGACTTTGTCTCATTTGAGGTATCTACTGAAAGGGCAGGTTTACAGATTTTACAGGACATCCTTTTAGCCTTCAGTGACCAGCCTGGCCATTGGTCGCCATTGCTTGTATCAAAATTACCTGCATTATTACCCATTCCCGATTTTGCCACCTTTTCCCTCTCCCGTATTTGTTACACCACTCTCAGGGTCTTGTTTCTAAGTAGACAACGAGATCCTTAAGGCAGCAACAGCGATTGCACAGTACCCATAAAACGGGGGCTTTAGGAGCTATCAGAGTATTTTTCCCACAGAATGTAAGGATCACAACCACCCAAGACAAGCAGGAACTTACCGAGCCATACAGTTCCCCTTTCTCGTTCATTCCAAGGTAGAGTCCACTGTCGACCCCTCGGATGCTGACCAAGCCCACTGCTATACTGATAAATTCCAGTATACCTATAAAATGCAGGAAAAAACAATTAATTTATGTGTTCCCATTGAAAGATTTTTTTTTCCAGATATGACTGATTCCTGAGCAACAAGCAGCTATTTTCAAAGGTGTTTTTACATTTTCAAAGTTGTTTGGAGGAAGATGAGGAACAAAAGAATACATCTTACAGTACAATACTTGAACAGGGAAGTCCTTTGAGTCTCTGCTAGAATGATGTATGTTAGACCACATTTACATACCAAATTAAAAGATTACTCTCCATCTTTCTTACAATTTCTAAAAAAAAACCTAAAGCTCAGTCATATTCTGATTTGCACAAACAATACAAAGAAAAAAAGTCCACAAGTTTTTAGATTGCAAGAATTAGCAGTACTAAAGAACCTATGAAATTTGTCTTGCAAAAATAAATCCTGAAAAAATACACTTGAATCAGAATTGTGAGATGAAAACAATGTTACACATGGAACCAAAAGATCTACTTCCAGGCATCAATGAATCAAGAAGATGTGGAAAGATTTACTCACAGTATCATCTTCCAGAGGCTTGAGAAATGACAATCCTTAGTATAGTCCCATCTCTCACACACTTCTGTCTAGATATCAACCATCTCTCTGGTGTATTATTTTTCACCCATCTCAAATTTGAAAAGTAAAATATTCTAAACCTAAGTAATAGTCTATCAACGAGTAAGTATTCTCAAGCTCACACAGACATTTGTGCACCAGAGAGAAGAACACTTTGCAGAGAAGCTTCTGTAAAGCTCCTAGGCCAATGTGCATGGTACAGTCAGTGTCTGTACCAAATATCAGCTCATCTGGTTCTGAGAGTTTGGGGTTTTTTTCACAGCCCTCCCTGCAAATTGCTTACCACCTTCAATGAGGATGCTACGAGCCAAACCCTGCATAAACCTAAAAGTCTTGTAGAAAAATATGGAAACTGCTTCCTACTTGGGAGTATTTGCATAAGACTCACAGGAGTTATCCAGCAACATTAGGCTACTTCTGAGCCACAAAATAAAGGGTGGAGTAGCGTTTCCAATGTATTTTGTGAATTTTCACATCTAAGCACACCACGTAACTATTTTTAAAGCTTATTGGAAACTACATTTGCATGAAATAATAAAATAACAGTATCGTATGTGTTGAGCCTCACGTGGCCAATAAAAAAACACTTTAATGGATTTTTTTAACAATTAATTTGGCATCTCCCGCAAAATAGTTGAGCACTAATCGATAACAGGCATGAATCACATAAATCTAATGCAGCACAGTTGAAACTAATAGGGAAAATTTATAGCCAAGCTAATGTAAAGATGAAATGTATTCCCTGTAAGGGACTATTGATCATTGCCTTATATATTATTCAGTACTATAAACATCATAGTCTTATTGTTTTGATAACCCCGTTTTAAGGCCTGGGCATCTTAAATTATTCTCTACATATGCACAAATAAAAAACAGTGGAAGGAAATACGTAGTAGTTAGGGATTTTTAAGTAATAAAATGTGGTAGTGTGCTGTTTGTATGGTATATGTATTATCTCAGATACAATCAATCCACGGAAACAATTTAAACATTCCCATTATATCTGGATACACAATTCATCCAGATTTCTTACTTTTTCTGTAAAGCTTTTACCAAACTATCATATTACCAAGCAATTTTAACTGAGGTTGAATCTTATGTTCAGCATGTACTGTACCACACCATAGCTAAGTTAGTAAGCCTGGCATCTTTCACATCAGTATAAAAGTAGACTTTAATTGCTGTCCTCATTTCAAATGTTTGGATGCATGCTGCTTAGTGTGTCAAAAGAACAAAAAAAGCACTGTCACGTCCTATTGCCAGTGCAGAAGATGAATTTAAGGCACTTTGCAAAGAGCATCCACATATCTGAGATCAGAATAGAGACTTCTTCATTTGAAATAATGATTGCATGATCTGGCCCAACACTCTGTGAGTGTATTCACTGTACAGTTTCTATAATATATGGATAGTACCTAGGGCCTGAACCAGATATTAAAATAGATACTCCAAAATCAGTCTGGACCAAATGAAAATAAGGACAGCTCCAAACTTTAAACGCTAGGGCCCTATTTATAGCTAAAAATGGAGAAGGGAAGAAAAGGAGAGAGGCAGTAACTGTCTCAGTACATGAGATGCTGAGCATCTTCTTGTCACACACTTGAGCATTTTCTTTAATGAAACCACTTCAAGGCAAAGACTCACTCCTCCACCAAGGGGTTGGGAAGAAACTTTTGGGGAAAGTTATTCCTCACATGTCCACATCAGCACCTTCTTCCACTTGATCAAATCTGACCATGCTGAATGGCAGCAGGACACCAGGATGCTGACCATGAAGGCCAGCCCTGCTCTCCTATGAGGCTCAGGTGATAGTGGAGCTGAGTAACTTTTTGGAGATGAAATCGTAACTTTCATCTAGTTTAGCTCTGGTGAAGAACAGACCCACACAAGCGTTTGCCTTGGCTTTAGGCAACACATATCTCTGCAAGTCTGAATCTTTCTGTTGCTGGTGTTCCACCCTTTGCACATTTTTGTCTTTGGCTACATATAGACTCTCTTTTTATTGCTGGACTGAAGCAGTTTAGCTTCCACTTAGCACCTTAACACACTACCAACGAACACGGTAAACAAGCATCGGTGCCAGCCACTGCTTCGTGAAGCAGAGCGAAGGGAAGTGGTGGAGGACCCCGCAGGTCTCTGGGGCTGCACCCCGCAATCATTCACCCAGGGAAGAGCAGAGGGACGAGGAAAGCGGAGCCCTTCGTGGTCAGCCCGGTGGTGGGGGCGAGGGCAGGGGCTTCCCCGGCTTCTTCCCCT